CACCAATCTTGAAGTAGAATTCCAACAATCTTTAGGCTAGTTTATTGGTTAAACAATGGCTTGTAATTGAAGAATCAAGCAAAGATACATTCGTTGCACACAAAAATGGTAGGAATGTTTCAAATCATTGGAATCAAATGGAGAAAAAGCAATGAGAGAATACAATGGATTTCGTCATTAAAGTAAGAATTGAATTGTACTTGTGAATTGTGACATTCTAAGTCTGAGGTTTGTATTCATTTGACAAATACATGAATGCAGTTGACGTGGTCTATGCTTGAGTGAAACATGATGATAAATTTATAAACTTTTGCATGTAAAAGAAATTTACTATGCATTATTTGTTCTTGTTAGCATGAGTAGTTTCTATCAAAATAAAATACTTAATTAATGTGATGATTAATTAAGAAAATATATGTCCTAAAAGGTTTGATAGAGATTGACCATGTTTTATCATGCTTTGGAATAAAAATACAAAAATTGATCTTTATGTGATTTAGCAATAGAGTTCTTTAATTGCATTTTATAAATTTTCTGCTAAGTGGGGTCAATCTTATTGTTGATTCAAACAAGTGCATATTGATGAAACATACTAATGCCAAATGCTTCATTATATGTTTGGATGTACATGACAAGTTAATTTTTTGATATAGATAGACTTAGAATAAGTCTTAAAAATGAAAAATTTATTGTCTATTAAGTTTGAGATTGAAGACATGATCAAAATCAATGACTTGTTTGAAAAAGAATTGAGAGAAAATGTGATACAACCACAGTATTTACTATATTTTCTGTATATGTTTATTGTTTATATACATGTACTGTAGCATATATGAACCTATGTGAAATATGGTCAAAATTTTGAACTTGTATAAAATAAAATATTGCTTTCTGTACACCACTAAAAAGGTGTGTTAATGTTTAAGATATTAAGCCAAAATGTATGATGTCTAAGTATGGCATTTAGCTAATGCTTAAGGCCAAAGCCGTTCAACAGCTTGTGATATATTGATAGAGTTCTAAATACAAGAGATTCTATACGTCCTATATTTTCTTTGGACTAAAGAAGACTGGACCTCAATCACGAGGAATTTGACGTTGCCGGTCAATTGTTAAAGTCCCATAACCTAATACAAGTAAGTTGGGTGAAAGAGGTGTTTCGTGCGTTTATACTGGATATGCACATCATAATCTGGTCTATTGGTTTAATAGATGCTATCTTTGATGAAGATAAGTATACCTTAATATTGACAACGGTGAAAAGGAAATAAAAAGAGACAGCTTGAACTAAAATCAATGCTCAAGTCATTGAGACTTAAGAAGCAAATACCAAGTAGGGCTAAGTCTTTGATTTGTGGTATCTATCTTGTTATGGGAATAAGATTTGAATATTAGTAACAAATCTCTTGTTACTGTAATACCAACACGAGCTCAAATAGCACATGCACAAAATTACATGATAAGTAATAAATAAAGCTAATTATTTGTGTTATTAGTCTTATTTAAATTGATGTTACATTTATTTGTGTTTATCATAGTATGCCAATAGTTATATAGTTATGAATTTATATCATATGTGTTAATATATGGTTTGAAATTCATGTCTTACTATATCTTTGAATTGTTTGTGTCAATTTTTTGAAGTTTCCATGAGATCTCAAAGAAAAGAGAGATCATATGTTTGGAAAATTTGGAACTCTTTATATATAATGAAAGAGTTTGAAGAGAATAAAATAGTTCTCTATTAAGGTTGAAGGAAAAAGAAAACGATCCTTGACCAAAGCCCACATAGTGGAAAATGGAAAAATCATCAACTCCATGTTTTTGAAATCATTTCAACATAAATAACAATGAATAAGGTAATACGAAAACTACCATATTGTAACAAAGAATGGCACAAAGAGCTCAAGTGTGAAAATCTTGTAACAAGAGAAATGGAATTAATTCTCCAGGAATATGAAGAAAGAAATCATAACATGGTCATTTCAAAAACTTCATATTAGGGAAGATGATTTCATTGTTGAGTTGATTGCAAAGTTTGAAAAAGCAAACTAGTTCTTCGAATTGCTAAATATGATCATATTAGTTGATAGGTTGCATGTATTATTATTTGAATTATGATCACAAGATGAGTTAATAAACTCGTATTGAGAATTAAAACTTTTGAAAAGACTTGAGTCAGTAGACTCATGTGAAGAGATCATTAAAATTTGAGTTAAAAAACTCATAAGTAAGGACTGAATCTTGAAGACATTTGGTCTAAAAACTGAATGATTTACAGGGATATGTCTAAAATTCAGAAATGATTGCTTGCATTGGAACCTCAATTCAACGCTAGTAAATACTCTAGTCTTGAATTCAATGAGCGATAGTACACTGTACAAGTAATTGAGCACTACACTATTTATCCCAAACTAGTTGATGCTATATATTTCCTGTTGGGTATTAGGTTGAGAATTGGCTCTTAGCAAACTCCTCTAAATACCAAAATGGCGAGAGAATTAAGAAGTTTGCCTAGATGAATGTCGGATTGGGCATCCAAAAAGTTTGGGACTTGGCTTTGTTAACATTCATGAAAAGATATGGGTACAAGACTTCACGTACCAGACGTACTGGAAAGGTTCAGGCAAATTGAGAAAAAACTTATGTGTGTTGACAATAGTGGTTTGTGACATATATGCACGGCTCAAAGCTAGTCTACCGTATTGTACTACAAGTTATGAAAACGACACTAAGGTAGTGATTCAAGTCTAACGACAACATTATTTTATGCATGAGTTTTGCTGGAATTATTCTAAATCCATTTAAAAATTATTTTCAATATAATATTGACTCCATATGAAAAGACATTAACGAAAAGTTATATCTATGACCATAACCAGAGGTTACGTCTAATCCTCAAGAGTTTCCAAAAGCTCTATAAATATGGATCATTTTGATGCTTTTAGTGTAAAATGAAATAACCAAATACATTGAATATTTTCAATGACTTTTCTTATCCTTGTATCAGGTTGTTGGTCCACTAAAGTGCATAGTGAAACAACATAATCTTCATTTTATTCATAGGGAATTCCTCTAGACAATTGCACTATATAGTGGGCGAATTTAACCTAAAGGAAAGCAAATTTACTTGTGATTTGGAGACAAACCTTTCTTTTATCCTAATTATAAATTCTTCCTCTTATTCTTTAATCTAGTGTAGCCATTGTTGTCCACTATTCTTGAAGTATAATTCCAACAATTCAAACTGCTTAAAAAGAATGTTCAATGAGCAGTCATTGTTTGGTATGGTAGTCATCAGTTCTTGGCAGCAAATGCATATGCGTCGATTAAACTTCGAAACTCCAAAGTCTCGCGCTTTCTGTACTAGAGGAACTTGTGAAAGAGTTTTCTTTTTATACTCTTGGATAAATCAGTTCTGTTGAATTATCTTCTCTGCTTTTAGCTTAATATTTATACCAAAGCCAAATTTTTTGAGATAAAGAATGGGTTGGGAGGCCAGTATCACATTAGTTTTTCCACTAGAAGATCAAATGAAACATGTTATAAATTGCCAAATCCTCTTTAGTTGTCTCCAAAATTTTACCAAGAAGTTGTATACAAATATGGGACTTTGTAGTCAAGAAGAGGCAGGAACTCTACATAACAAGAGATGCAAATTCTTAACTTCAACTCCAGTGGTTGCATTTTCCAGCTGCTATTCTCCCAATGAAAAATCATTAGACCCTTCAAGGAGATGCCAAATTATAGCTTCAAGCCTCAGGGAAGCCTTTTCCGCTTGCCATGCTTTTTGTGGAAAACTTTCTTCTTCATTACCGAAAGAAGATCAAGCTTAATTATCAGCCCTGTTTGAGTGATTTACATGATGATGAAGTAGCACTTAAAAAATGTCTATTACGTAGTTTTTGCTTCACAAAACGCAATGTTAAATAGTTTCTCTTTGAAGTGAATGAATTGATACGTATTTGTTCAAGTTTGGCAGGTTTTAGTTTCTAAAGTTACTAGCAGATACATGGAACCCAAATCCAGGCGACATAATATGGAGAATTTTAGTTGGGCATTATCTCCGGAAACAAGAAAACTTTTTGTCACTCCAAGCAATGGAACAGAAGAACAATGACATCGAAACAATGGATGACTTCCTTCTAGCTCAAAGTCAGTTATCCTACTAGTCTAGTTTACAAGCATGGAGCCTTTTGCATCTGGTAAGGCGACATTTTCCCCCACCTCAAGCTTAAGCAGGATCGATTTCCAAGACTTGGAGAGGCGGCGCTTGTTAATTCAGGAGTTAGAGCCATGGTAAGGGGGGGGCCATTTGGGCTCTGCAAAAAGGCGTTTCTGCTTCCACCTCTACCAAAATCCCCTTCTGATTCTTGGTTATGGCGCAGTAAATCAGCCAGAGCCATCAGAGCTAGGTTATCCGAACTGAAGTTGAGATCTTGAGAGCTTCATCTACATTGTCCTAGTTTTCTGGTAGTTCAAATGAAAAAGTACTATTTGAAGAAAATCGAACTGGAAACACATTAAATTGATGCCATGTCTACAGCTATACTATCCCCAGAATAAGATTAAGAGGGCGAATGGTAATAATAAGAAGATGAACTAAAATTATGCAAAATTGAGCAGGTCCAACAAAAAATCAATAGCTTTCTGAGTGTGAAGATGAACTAAAACTAAGCAACATTGCGTAGCTAGAACACAAAAAAAGAAAATTAGCTTGAGAGGATAGGGCAGCCATGCATTTGCGCCTTGGATCATTGGATGGCTGTAAGTAAACATCGGTGTATAACAGTTTTGTATGGGAAGCTGGAAACTAAAGTAGTTGGTTAATGACATTTCATCGAGCATGACAAATCCATTCTCTTTACAACTCTATACTTTCTTATTTTCTAGCCAAATCCATAAATCCAGAGCATTGGCACCCAAAACCAACCCCAGCCCGTTAAAAATGTTCTTAAATTTTTTAAAAGGATGGAAACTAAAACATCACATGCCCCGACTTATGCTCTTTGCTCGACATATGACTCGGCAAGTCCAGAAGTCCCAAGAACTGTGACCTGCAATATGGAGGGCAAACATCTATCATGATTTCATTCAAATAGAGCATAGTTATATCCGACATGGTAACCTATTTGGTCAACCTGACGAGACATTTATTCTGAACAATTTGATTTCTTACGATCGTAATTTTGCCAATTTAAAATTCAATATAAAACACCTTTTAGAATTGTAATTCATGACAGTAAAATCTAACCTACATAGATATGGTAATGCAATGATAAGATTTTTTATGGTGATGAGATATCTGAAACAAAATCAAAGCACACCCTAGCGAAATAAAAATGCATGCAAAGGAAAAAACCATTGATCAGTATGAGAACGATTGTACCTTTCCCCATTCTTTATTGAGGCCACTGCACCTCATTTTCAGATGTATCATTTTTGTGCTCAACTCATTCTCTACTTTCTTCTTCAGGTAAATCTCTTCTGGACCAAGCGCTTCTAGGTATGCTTCAAAGCGGTTATAGATAGTTTCAAGTGCTTTAACAAATTCTTCAGGCATTGGCTTTACATCCTGCATTAGATACTAAGTCTTAGCATAATGCAAATACACCTGCAACATGTTACTTCAAAAGCTCACACAAATCATCTCACTTCACCACTCAATCCAATGCTATCACCAATTGCCATCTTCAAAGAGGTTAAAATTCCAGTGAACTCTTCAACTGCCTCAACAGCTCGGAGAACATTGGCTAAAGTACCCTGGCTAGTCTTGTCATATATGCTTTTAGACAAAGCTTTCTTCACATCGTGGACAACAGCTGGTGGAAGATCATCCTGGCTTGTGGCCATCACGTCCTTAAATGCACATTCAATCTCCACATCCCTTATGACAGGCACACGAGCCACATCTTTCGAAAAATGATGAAAACTACCAATTCTCACTGCAAAAGTAGGCATGAAGTCTAATAAGTTGAGCGAGTTCAAACAAAAACATAATCAGATCCTATACACCAATCAAGAATGACAACTTTTATACAAGCAATTAGTAATACATCACAGCCCATAGGTTACTACAAATTCACCTTGATGCTTTATAATTCCAAAAAAAACAAGGTAATTTTCATGCAACGAAGTATTAACCTATACGGATGGAATCTTAACCTATACGGAGGGGCCAATTATTCCAAATCCGAAGCCAGTTAGTTCAAAACTCAATCCAAATATCCAACTAAAGAAAAATAAAATAAAATCAAATAAATCATATTATTTCTATAGAGATTAAGAAATTGAATTTTGACCATTTGGGAGGCAAGCCAATGATGAATTCCTCTTATTTTATCTATCGACAGGTACAATAATCGATTTCCATAGCAAATACATCTCTCATAAAAATTTCACCCCAAACTAAACATATGCTTCATCAATTAACTACTAACAAGAAACCTATTTATCATCGGTCAAAAGTGGACCAGAACAAATTTTGGAAAACAGTGTCGGCGAGACTACTCTGATAAAAACTAATTACTCATTTGACCAATCCACAAACTAAAATCTTAGAGTCTAAACCTTTAAATGGAAAATCGATTAAGCTGAGACAAGTAGAAAGTACCAGAAGCGAGTTTTTGGGGAGTAGAGGAGGCAATGGAGGACCGATGAAGATGGAGATGTCTGATGTGATTTACAAGCATCGGGTCCGGCGCATCTCTGCTGGAGGACGAGATACCTAGACCCTAGTGCCGAGCAGCTCGATAAATTGATCTTATCGCCATGGATTTCTCCATCACAGTCTTGAATGATTCAGGAGAGCAGCACGCTAATTAATGTTTTGGTTGACATTGGTTGGATCTCAATTAACCTCGAACAAGGATAACTGCCTGATAAGAAAAAGTTGTGGTAATTTGTTACTGAAACAGTCAAAAACTTCTGTGGTAACTGAGCCTTTGCAAGAGGATATACACAAGCTCAGAAATTAATTCTCCCATATCACATATTCATGGAGTTCTAAAAAAAGAAGCATGCAAGAGCAAAGAACTCCATATTGACATGTGTACAAAAGAAGTAGGTTTGAACTTCTCAACCAAATTCCTGAGGTGAATTGCACTTGCATTAAATTAAGTAAGCATAGCAGAGTAAGCAAAAAGGATAAACAAGGACCGAAAGAAAAGAATCATATATCTCACAACCACGGTTCAAGATACTCATATAAGTGGCATTCATCTAATCAAAGTGCTGGAATCAAGGAAATTAGAAAGGAAAAGAAGATGTCTCGGCTGAAATAAAAACAAACTCCGGCTACATCACAGGCTGGAGCTCTTGAAATTGAAGATGATGAAAGAAGATGAACTTCTGCTGATATAAGAATGACATATACACATCCAAGTCCAGATTGTCCAGTAGTAAAGCAAAGAAAAAAAGCAGCATAAAAGTAAATTTTCTGTAAAAATTATTCAAGATTATATAGCCCTTGGCCATAAGAATGATCATTAACTGTCTTCTCCCCCTTCCCCTCAACCTTGGGTTATAGCTAGAGCCTATAACTTAACAAATTACATTTTCATAAACCTTGGAAAAAATCCATAGAGATCCCCACATAAATATACTATATATTAAAAAAATGAAAGCGAAAGAAAGGAAAGAAAAAAAAAAGAGTGTGAACTTGGTGATATCCATTATTTTTCAACACTTTGAGCAACATACGAGAATGAAACATGTCACTACAACTGAAAGAAAGTTAAAAATTGAAAAGATAATAAAAGTTTAATACTTCATCAATTGCACCAACGTCGAGGCCAAAATCCATAAAACTAAACAAATAAAGGTTAATAATCAGGAAGACTTGCAAACTCACAGAAACCAGAAAAGAGGATAAGGCTATAGCAAACATACGCTAATTGAATTAACCACAGAGGGATCCAACCATTAACCTCTACTGTCAAAGCTTAAATGTCCATCCATTCAGACCCAAAAATAATTCATTAACGATCAAAATTCTTATCCACAAAAAATCAAGAATTAAAAAATAAACAGCGGTGAAAGACATTGAACAAAAGAAAAGCGGCGAACAAAAACAATGCATCACCCAATGTCACTTTAGTAATCATCAAACATCGACAAACAGAAAACTCCAAATGATAGAATAGCAAGAACCCAAAATTCAGATGCAATTACGAAGTGGAAAGATAAACCCAGATAGGACAAGTACCTAAGATCAAATAAGATTAGGTGATTAGAGGAGTGGAACAATAAATTGAATTTGTATGTTAGGATGCGTTGGAAACTTGGAATAATTAAAGGATGAAGAAACAGTCTTTGTAAGTTCTCTAGTCAGTACATTACTGAAAGGAAATTGAAATCTCATCAATCTCACCTTTTGAATTTCCAATTAATCAACTTTATCCTGTATATTTGAATATTTGCCAATTTTATCCCATATATTTGAATTCCCCAATTTCGTTCTATTGACCCAAATTCCACTCAACTTGACATATTTCCGTTAGGTTTTTTTAAAACAATAACTAGATGCTTGCCCCGGCCAAAAGGCCGGGCGGACGCCTTCCTATTTTTCTTTTCCTCATATTCTATGACATTGCTTTATGATATTAAATTTTCTTACGACAAAATAACAATAAAAAAGATATTTAAGAGTGAAGTTATACATTTAAATATAACAATAAAAAAGTCATTTAAGAGTTAAGTTATACATTCTTGTGGCACTAGTTATATGCCCGGGAGCAATCCTTACTTAACAAATTGATATGTAACTACAGAAAAATATACTATCCCCTAACCAAAACATAATAATTAACAAATAACAATTTAGCTAGTTCATCTACTCTTGGAAACCCTGGAGCACCATTTGGAGAACCTTATAGAATGTTCTTAGTGTTACGTGTATTGGATTTCTTCCTCGTATTACCTAGCTTGCTTGAAACCTGCTTTGGCAGCTTTTTTGTTGTAAAATCATCTTCTGGTTCCACTAACTTCTTAGGCCGACGATGGTTCCACTAAAATCATCTTCTTGTATTACCTAGGACATATTAAATATTCTCTTCTAGGACATCATAACCACAATGTTTGAAACACCAGGTTGTTGCTCTATGATACTATTGCCCAACAGATGAACCAAATTTCACAAATAACTGATTGAACTAAATCTCAAATTCATATATTGTAACATACTATATGAATGCATAAAGTTAGTGAAAGTTACTGGTGCTTGCCGAGTTCACCAAAAAATAATAAATATTACTAGTTTGGATTATGAGTTTTGTAGATAATGGAAGCTAGGTCGATCCCACGAGGACAGCTAATTACCAAATTTGTTGTAAAGAAAAACTGTCAGTCAACAAGGTGTCACTCAGGAGAATGGAAACAATCACTCAGGGGAATGGAGGCCAGGGGTGTTCTTCTCCTCTTCCTGCTGTTGTAGTTGTTTTATTAGCACAGTAATGGTTGAGTTCTTGTTCATTCAGCTCACTTATAACTCTAAGTCAGTTCCCATTTTTCCTAGAGTCATCTTTGCAACCTTAACAACCTATTTTCGAATGATTGATTCCAGCTACAAAGTCATTAAGTTCTTAGGCCTTCAAGAATGCTTATGTTAACTAAGTATGTTCCTATCTTAGTTAAAACCATAGACTGTTACCTCTATGTCATAAGCTAAAGTTGAAACAATCCAAACCGAGTTTATCCTTCCAGATCTCCCTTAGTTCTAGCATGCATTCAATTTAGTGATCAAGTAAATGAATGTAGAAAAACTTTCAACCATAAAACAAGGAACAAAACCAGTGCTTGACAACTACAACATCAGTTGAGGAGAATAACCCCTGGAAACTGTTTAGCTACTCATACGGATAAATGCTACATCTACTACATCGAAAGACATCATAGAAGTATGCATAATAAACAAAGTTCAAGCTAACAGTCAAGAGATGAGAAGGAAGCTTGTTCAGTTTCTGAGCCACTCCTGGGAGTGAAAGGGTTCACTCGTGGAACTGAAGAAGAAACTGGGTTGCTATTCTTCAACTTAGCTTCCTCACTGAGTTGTTGCTGCTTCTTCTTCTTTCTTGTCTTCTACCTGGAGTTTTTCTGAGTGTTTTTGCAACTGAGAAGCTAACCAGAGACTGAGAGATGTCCTTTGAGAGTGCAGTTCCCTTTCTTATAGGGCATTGCAGCCGGTGTCTTCATCATGAGAACCTCCCCATGCTTGAAGTTGTTTAATCCTCCCAATGTCTTGAGCCTGCAATCCAACTTGGCCGTTCCTTTTCTCTCTTCCAGCAGCAGCCGTTTTGCTCTCATTGATCAGCAGTGGTGGCTGGGATTGCGGCTGGGGGACAAGCATGCCTCTAGGAGGAGGCAAGGTCATTAATGACAAGATGCTTCTTGTCTAAGGGCCTTCTTCTTCGTCCAGCTCAGCACCCTTGCCTCAGCAGTCCTTAAATTGCTCCTTTGGCTTCCAATTTTCAGCAATTATTCAGTCCGGTCTTTTCCTAACAATAACATAAAAATGAGCTAAGTAAATTGCACCAATGTTAGGAAATACCCCCAATTGTTCATCAAATACAAAGTTAAGTATGATGCTTTTATGTAACAATTTAACCATTATCAACTCCCCCAAACTGGAAGAATTGCTTGTCCTCAAGCAAAACACTTAAACTTTTGTTGGTACTTTCAGAATTGCACAAAACAAATAGGGAAGACAAAGTGACTGAAGATTGACTTATTCCCCTGAGTGAGGATTCCCTCTCAGGTAAGTGACACTAAACAAGCAACAACTTTAAACACAACTAGATAGGTGCTGTCAACTTTCCGTCTCAGATTCAAGTGAAGAAAACGTACATTGAGGATACCAAATCTTTCTGCAATCCAGAGTCAAACAACCAACCTTCACAGGGAATTAGAATGCATATGCCACAAGTGTTTGTTCATGCCAAACCTACCAATCCATTCTAAGTTAACCGGTTAAACTTTTGGTGGTCATTCTTGTGATCTGGTCTTGCCCGAGTTACTTGACTCGATTTACCTACTGAGACTTCAATCCTGGAGTTCCTGCACAGCCTTTATGCTTTATTTATTTAGAAAATCTCTTTTTTTTTTTTTTTTGAATGGGATGTAAATGGACCAACCTACAGGGGTGTTATTCAACCTTATCTCTCCACTGCCTTATACCTCAACCCTTATTACTCCAACAGTTTGGAACTTTTTGTGGTGGTTCCTTGCTGTTACCCCTAAGGTTTCGGTTGATCCATTCCCTAAGTTTTTTTTTTTTTTTTAGCAAAGCAAACAAGCTGTGAATGGGTACCACAAAGGAAGCCTCAGATTTACGGCATTTCTCATCTAATTGTAGCTCAGAACTAGACACAGCTCACAATAGTGGATTAGTCATGCCAAATTTTAAGATTTATGTTCCAGGCAGTCACTTCCACGAGTGGCATTATTCACGTGTGTGAGTGAGTGTCAGCCATTCTTCTTTCATGCATCAGATTCAGTATCAAAAAGTGGTTTAACAAAATTGTTTTTCAAAACCATTATCATCCTAGACTGTTGACAGCTCCTTAGAAGATTTTCATTTTGTTTTGAGAGATATTTTACAGAGTCAATCTAGACATGAACCTAATGGACCTAAATGGCATTGTCCTGACATTGACCGACCTAACCAAAAACTAACTACAACTACTAACTACAACTA